GTTCTCCGCCCGTTTCCTAGCGTCAGCTCCGGTCATTCGGCTGAACACACACCCGGTGATTTAAAAAACAAAAACTAATAATAAAATCTCATCCCAGCAGCGATCAAGAAACAAGAACGTTATACAGGAAGTAGTGCAATTATAACAATAAGTTATATTTATTATAACAACTTTTAAAATTTACCTTAAAAAAATCAAACAATTCTAAAACAAATGCCAAAACTTTGGTCTAGAACGGTTAGAAGAAGTTAAACAAAATTTAAAGTTTTTTTAACACAATGACATTTAATAGGTCCTTTTTGAAGTACCTGCACTGGCGCATAAAATGACATGACGGGCCATTTGACATTTGCCCCCCCCCCACCCCTCCCCCGGCCTTGAGTTTTCGGTGTGTTGTGGTCCATCTTTTCTGCATTTCTATTACGTTTTATTATAATATTACGTAAACTACATGTGGATGAATAAAGCAATCTGAATAAATGCATGGTTGTGGGGTTTTTTTTTTTTAGAAAAAGTTGTGTCAAAGATGTTTTTAAGATCTGCTTGCGCTTATTGTATTTAAGTTTTTTTTTTAGTAAAGTACATTTGAAAAGCAATAATAATTTTGTCACATATTGTTATATTTTGTACGATTTGCATCGTTAACCTGTCTTTGATTGGCAGCAAAGCAAATCTATCTTTATTGGTTATAAATCTGCATTTTTTCTCCCCCCCATCTAGTATATCACTTTTCTTTTTATTCGCTGGCTTGAACTATTTTTGTTTTGGTTTTTGTAGCTTGTTACGAGTTTGGACTCCACTGAATTTGTTGCGCTAATCTTCAGTCGGGCTATTTTTCTAAACGATTTCTACACATCAGCTGTGAGCAGCCTGCTGGGGAACGATCAGCAGAACACTCAGAGCTCACAGATACGCAGGCCTGGGGGCTGCCTTTTGTCTGAGTGACAACTTAGTATCACAGTGCAATGCTGTCTGTAAAAATGGTTAAACAGATGGGGGGGGGCTGATGCACGAACAGGAACCACTGGAATGTTTCCTATGTTCGTTGTACAGAGAAGTGGTCACATGTAATCTCCACAACAACAAAAGAGACATAGACATATAATAACAGCAACAACAACAACAATAATAATAATAATAATTATTATTATAGCGTTTACATTTCACATCCCTATACCACTTACACACATAACGTAAAGGATAAATTATGCCTAATGTCCAAAGGTGCTAGCATGCTAACGGTGGTTATTTAATGTTAACGAGATTAATATACACAGTGAACAACCCCATATCTGCCTAATGTCCAAAGGTGCTAGCATGCTAACAGTGGTTGTTTAATGTTAACGAGATTAATATACACAGTGAACAACCCCATATCTGCCTAATGTCCAAAGGTGCTAGCATGCTAACAGTGGTTGTTTAATGTTAACGAGATTAATATACACAGTGAACAACCCCATATCTGGAAACTTCCATGGCGGACCTGGGATTTTTATGCTTTGAGCCTGGAATATTCGGTTTTGGTTCTGGAACGATCAGTGGGTAAAATTGAACTAGCGGTTATTAGTGCTAGCATGCGTTAGGCGATCGATCTATTAGAACTCACGGTAAGCCTTAATTATTCGATAGCACTCATTCCTTCAGATTCTAAGCCTGAATTCAAATTCTAATACACGTTTTTATATCATATATTATCATAAAATATTCTATAATACATTGGGGGGGGTTGTTTTTTTCCTTATAATTTATGAATTACCTCTTAAAAGTGACTCCAAATGAAATAAAAACACGACATTTTTATTATATTTTTAAAAAATATATATATAGCCCAGCATACGCAATAAGTCACTGTGAAATCAACACATAGATAGTTCTTCTTCTCCAGGGACCCATATACAGATATGGAATCCCCCCCAAACCCTACATTCAAGAGGTTTATCTGTAAATACACAAAGAAAAATAAGGTTATGAAGTGCCTTCATTTAATTATAGTGCTTAATATAGCATTATCTAATCAACAAATATTACAGCGTGTGTGTGTGTGGGTGTAGAATAAAGCAAAACACATACCAATGCTATACTGTTGAAGTAAAACACATACCAATGCTATACTGTTGAAAATGCCTTAACACTGTGTTCTGTTGCATTACCGTGACTGCAGGTCAGGTGAGGTCAAGTCTGTCTATGTTAGCAGCGTGCGTTCACGAGTCGTTCGCAGAAACTTGAGTCCTTCACGCGGAACTTCGTGTCACTTCCTTAGCTGTGCAGACCTGCATGGAGAAACAGGGACACCCACGCACACTAAATGACGCTCTGAAAAGACCTTTTTTTTTTTTTTTTTAAATCCAGCCAATAATGCAGAGCTCCTGCCCCCCTCCCGAACACCTCTCACATCTAAGGATATAATGGGGGCCATCATTCCTTTCTCTCTCTATCTATCTATCCTTCTTTCTTTCTCCTCGAGGATGGTAGGCTAAACCAGCAGGGTGTCAACAGGCGTTGAAAACGGTGCAGCTGCCAAGAAAATGACCAGTTTAGTCGAAGCCGCACAAATTGCATGTGAAAAGTGCAGCTAATTTGTAACGGGAAGAAGAACGGTGGACGTTCTCCCTTTTTTTTTTTTAAACCTTGTTGTACAATGTTGTGGTCCGCTGAGTGTCCTGCAGCAGTGTCCAGTGAATTCAGTGAAACAATCCCCACTGGCAGAGTTAAGAAGAGCAGCAGACCCTCATGGAAATTGGAACAATGGAACAGGAAATAGGGAAATTTAAAAAGGAACAGCACATCTTGTGTATATATATATATTAAAAAAAAGCCTTCAAAGGTATGTTTTTAAATCAAATGCTCTCACTCGGATACTCTAAATCCCCAGCTGGGCAGACCGCAGGAGAGAAAACGTCATTTAGAACTGTTTGTGCACATGAAGTCGCCCACCTTCAAACAGAGATGACCACTGATGACCAGCTACTAGCTAGTCTTCTAAGTCTGCGCAACCTTTAGCTACGTGTCAGATCCTGTTGACTTCGGCTGAAAAGAGAGAAAATATGAGAAATAAGTAAAAGCAAAATTTAAAAAAAAGCAACATTTTAAAAATAAATCTTGAGTGAGGCACAATATGGTGGTAGGGTTGAGAAAATACTAATAAAAATATTAATAATAATAAGCTCATTGACTCCATCTTGTCTAAACAGCAGATTTGCTGCAATGGGGTTTGTTTCCCCCAAAGGAATAATCTGAAAATGGAATAATCTGGAAAATTAGGGTCTTGCTTTAAATTTCTGATCGCGACCTTTTTCTTAGAATATAAAAAAAAAATCAAAGGCCGATTTCTGATGTTCATTTATTCCAAATTAAATTTGGTGATTTAAAATCAGAATAATTACATCTGACATCGCGTCACTCTCCGTTCTCACTCTCTCACTCTCTGCTTCACTCTTGCATCACTCTCTGCTTGCGAGGCCAGCCACGGAACCGCAGGAAGTGAGAGGTGTGTAGTTGGGTAGAAAGTCAACCATAAAACTTTCTTTTGCTTAAAAATAAAAAATAAAATAGTTCATATCAGAAACTTTATTCATATTAATGGGTAGAACACAGAATTTTAGTTAAACTAATTTTAATTAATACGTTTTAATCCAGCCCTCCAAACTTTTCCAATTACACTTCTGCCTTTTCCCTGCAATATCCACATTTTCCCAATAGATGGCGTAGAAAATGCTAAAAGCTTCTTTTTTTTTTTAGCATTTTAGCCTTTATGCATGACTTTAACATGTCGTTTATCTTAGTTCGCACGAACGCTCCATCTATTGGCTCCTGATCCAATTTTAGGACAATTGTGGCGCGGGAGTCAAAAAGTTTGCCCTGATCTTTATTTGAAATGAGTTTCAGAAATCTGCCTATGATTTTAGTATTCTAGGAAAAAAAGTAGCATTCAGAAATTCTCCTCACTGACCCTAATCTTTCTCTTACCGTGACTATATATTGCAGATTATT